CTCTCTCTCTCTCTCTCTCTCTCTCTCTCTCTCTCTCTCTCTCTCTCTCTCTCTCTCTCTCTTTTGGTAGCCCCCCTTCCCCTCCCCCCGTCCCCCTCTCTCTCTCTCTCTCTTGCACCCATTGCTTTGGCTACCATTGGGCTGGGTTCCCCGCGCCCACGCCCTGAACAATTTTTGAGTGGTTGTCGTGGCCAAAATTAGGGCACTTGGGCACCTTGACAAACATACCACCCTCGGACACGGGGGCGCAGCCAGGACGGCGGCGGACCGGTGACCAGCCCACAAGTGCTTCGCTACACTTTTGTTCTCAACCTGTGAAAAACAAACATCCCAAATGCTACGATAACTGCCAGGTACATTCAATGAGGTATTAGTGTAACTGTACCCTCAGTGAGGGCGTGTAGGGGACAATCACATGGGGAAAAAAAAAAAAAAAAAAAAACTCCCTTATGCTATGATTGAGGGCAGATACAGGATGCTACAGCATGGAGACAGTTATGTGCCACCCGTCCCCGCACACTCTCCCTGCACACTCTCGCTCTCCACTCTCCAAAGACCCTCCCTCTCACGACCCAACATACACATACCCAGCCGCGCGTGCGACCGAAGCCGAAGCATGCAGCCAAATCTGCCCGCAGAAAGACACAGAATGGCAGCCAGGTGCATCCAGCTCTTGCCTTGTGTTTTTTTTTTTTTTTGAAGAAACAAATACAGAGAAGATTAGCATAGCATAGCCCTGCGCAAGGACGATAGGCGGGCAACTTCTGCGTTTGGTGCTCGGCGGATCACGGAGGGGCTCTACCCAGCGTCCCACCACTCGTCAAATGTGGAAAATGATGGGTGTATTATGTGCAAGAACGTGCGTAGATGCGCTCACAATTTTCGCAATTGGCCCTCGGTTCACCGAGCGAGGTTCCGGTAAGCAGTAAAAAAAAAAACGACCGACGGTCTTTCGGGGCATATATATCCGGGGCCTCGCAACAATGGACAAGCCCAACATTGGCAGCCAAGTGCATCCAGCTCTCTCCTTGTGTTTTTTTTTTTTTCTGAAGAAAATTTCCACAGTCGGAGAGTAGCACCACCTCAGTCGATCCCCCAATGTCTCCCAATGTAACGAACAGTTGGATAACTGGTTCCTAACTTCCCAAACTGGAAACCGGGCGCAGCCCGCAATTCGTCCAAGGACCGCACCACCGTCCCCGCGACCGCCACCACGTTGGCTCACGGAACGACCGGTCGGTGTCGTGTTAGCGACCGCGACGCCCTATACCCGCTTACACCCGCTTACACCTATTTTTTAGGCCTAGTTGCACGACTCTGCACGACTCGCCATCCGACAACATTGTGAATGCAGCTGGACAACGCACCTGCAATGTGCACTGGCAATGATGACAAATTTCCCCAAACGGAAAAAAGCAAAAAACGCATCCATGTACTAATACCACGCTCGGGCGTGGGGGCGCAGCCAGGACGGCGGCGGACCGGTGACCAGCCCACGGCGCGCCATTCCCGTCTTTATGAGAGGAATAGAATCCCCCCGCGCTCCCAGCCCCAACCCTACCACCTCCGAAGCCACCCCTAGATGCCACCGACCGAGACCCTCCCCCTGTCCCGCTCTTGCCTCCACCGCCTGTCGGGTCCCCACTGTCACTCACATTCCCTTTCCCGCCGCTACTCCCCACCTCCCCACCACCCCCCCCGCCCCGTGTGCCTCCTCCCCACAAAGACCCTCTCTCTCACAGCCCGCCGTACACATACCCGGCCGCACGTGCGCCCGAGGCGGAACGCAGACACCGAGTTCCGCCAGCAGGTGCAGCCGGCTGCTCCTCAGCGCAGCGCAGACCCGAATAAAAAAAGCCTGAAACGCGCTGCGCACCTGTCCGCCTACACAGGTAAGATACACACAATACAAAGCCTCGCAACAAAGAAGGACCCCAACATTTCTGAATTACATCCGGGCCGTCGATCTCCCTATTCAACGCACGGTCAGATAACCATCTCCCTATTCAACGCAAGGTCAGATAACCATTTCCCGACTTTCCTATACCGGTCTCCGACGACTGCAGCGACCTCCGCAGTGTTACCTCATGGAACGACCAGGGAACGACCGGTCGGTCTCCGACGACCGCAGCGACCGCCGCAGTGTTACCTCACTTCCTGTGTACCCACTTATACCCACTTACCCGTTGGGGTGGCTGCTAACCCGGAAACCGAATCCGCCTGCCCCTCCTGTCCAAGTTCATTCGAGGGGGGGGGGTACGGAAAATGAGGTAGGTACTCGTGGTTTAAGGCCTAGTTGCAAGATCTCCACCCGACAACATCGTGAATATGTTGTGAATGCAGCTGGACACAGTTGCCGTCTCCCTGCATCCCAAAAGGTCGACGACATTCCCCAAACGCAGCCCCTACACGACAAAACGCGACCCCGTATAGGCAGCCATCCTGGCTGCGAACACAAACTGAACCTCGCCATACTCCAGCCCTTAGGGCTGCGAATTTGACCGCAACTGCAACCAAAGAGCAGTCGAAAAGTCACATCTTGCGATTGCGCCCTCAGTCAGCGGGCAGTTATTGTGGCCCTGTGAAGTCTTTCCTGGTTCCGACTCGCCCACGTGTCTGCTTCCCCGGGCCAGCTGACACACGTTTCTTTTTCTGTTTTTGCTCTGCTAAGGGCATACTCACACTAGAGTTTTTTTTTGCTAAATGGCAAAATCTGCTATGCTGTTAGAGTCACACTAGGGTTTTCAGACCACCAAAATTGCAAACGGGGTAGCATTTGTCAGCGGCCTGGGGGGCTGCGGGGATGGGCATTTTGCCACCACCTCGAGAGGTGGTGTGGCAAATTCTCTTTTGGCCGTAGCAAATTCTCTTTAGCCTTTTGGGAATTGTTGAAAAAAAAAATCCGCGCTTTGTGACCATGATAGGCAGCAATTTTGCAATTGCCAGAGAGTCCCGCTCGTGTCCTTTGTGATTTGCAACCCATGTGTGACCGGGCGGGGTACTATTTCAGCAAACACGGGAAAGAAAATTCAGCAGATTTTGCTAGATTGCCACCGCTGTGTGAGTACGCCCTAAAACAGCCCTGTGCGAGGCCATCTTTCGGGAGGCGTACAATCAGGCGGCTTGTCCCGGACTGGAAAAATCGTTCGCGATCGTACTTGCCAGGATCAATAGGTATGGACCGGACCTTACGAAGATCAACGGCCACTGCCTACTAGTCCCTGCTATGTGGCACTCCGCCCCGGTGCTTCGGGCCGTATGCAACAAACACAATGGACGTTCCGGACTGACTGAATTTGGCCCTAACCGGCCTTCAATCCATCGGTCAGATTCCTCCATATCGGTCTGTAATTGCGATGAGATACATACAGAAAAATCCTAGTTTTAGACTAGGTCCACTGAGGCTCGGACATCCTCTCACTCCCCCTGGAATAAGGAAAAGATGCACTTCCCCTTTCGCATGTGGTTAGTGGTGGGGCGAGGACAAGAGCTGAGGACGGGTAGTAAAACACCTGCGCCGTGGGCCGCGCGTTGCGGAGGGTAGAGGCGCAAGAGCTTCGCGCTCGTCCGCGAAGGTTTTTCTCTGTCGTACATGCGTCATTCCTTATCTTGGTGCAATTTGCCCGCGCTTGTGTGGGAACCACGTCCTCGTTGTTCCCTGCTGCCCGTATTGTGCCCCGAATCCCGTTCTTCCTCAATCACAGGGTTTTCTTCCTTGCAAGGCATATATTCTATACAACAACAAAACGAGCAATTGCAGTTGAGCGCTCTTGTGTGGTGGAATTGGGCGTAATGCCCTGTCTGCCGGATTAGGTGCCGTAGCATTAATCGTTTCGGCAAGGAACGGACGTAGGTAGGAAGCGGGAACAGAGCGGGGAGAGAAGCAGGAAGAAGAAGGAAGAAGGAAGAAGAAGAAGAAGGGAGAGGACTCTGCTGCGAGGATGATGAACGGTGTGGGTGAGATGGAGGCGGTTTCCAGTTGGGGGAAGGCGCCGCTTGTAGAGATTGATCCCGAAATTAGTGATTTGATCGAGAAGGAGAAGAGAAGGCAATGGAAGGGAATTGAGCTTATAGCCTCGGAGAATTTCACGTCGCAGGCGGTGTTGGAGGCTTTGGGAAGCGCTCTGACGAACAAATATTCGGAGGGTATGCCCGGGGCACGCTATTATGGCGGGAACGAGTTCATCGATCTGATCGAGAATCTGTGCCGTTCCCGCGCTCTGCAGGCTTTCGGTCTCGACCCGGAGAAGTGGGGCGTCAATGTGCAACCCTATTCCGGCAGTCCGGCGAACTTCGCAGTGTACACTGCGCTCCTCCAGCCCCATGACCGCATCATGGGACTTGATCTTCCGTCTGGCGGTCATCTCACCCACGGCTATTACACGTCTGCGGGGAAGAGGATTTCGGCGACCTCCATTTATTTCGAGTCGCTGCCGTACAAGGTGGATCCGACGACAGGCTACGTGAACTACGAAATGCTGGAGGATAAGGCGCTTGACTTCCGCCCCAAGCTCATCATCTGCGGAGGCAGCGCCTATCCTCGAGAATGGGATTACGCGCGCTTCAAGCAGATCGCCGACAAATGCGGGGCCATCCTGATGGCCGACATGGCGCATATCAGCGGCTTGGTGGCTGCTCAAGAGGCGGAAAGTCCGTTCGAGTTCTGTGATGTCGTGACGACCACAACTCACAAGAGTCTGAGGGGTCCTCGATCCGGCATGATTTTCTACCGGAAGGGGGCGAAGCCGAGCGCGAAACCCGACGGCCCAGCGGGTAAGTACGATTACGAGGATCGTATCAACTTTGCGGTGTTCCCTTCCCTCCAGGGCGGGCCGCATAACCACCAGATCGCCGCGCTTGCCGTTGCGCTGAAACAAGCCCTCTGTCCAGCCTTCAAAGCCTACTCGCAGCAGGTGAAAGCAAATGCCAAAGCCCTCGCTAGCGCGCTGATGAAGAAAGGCTACAAGCTGGTCACGGATGGCACCGACAACCATCTCGTGCTCTGGGATCTTCGCCCCCTTGGTCTTACTGGGAACAAGGTGGAAAAGGTGTGTGAGCTCTGTCATATCACTCTGAACAAAAACGCTGTGTTTGGGGACAGCAGCGCGCTGGCTCCCGGTGGAGTGCGGCTTGGCACGCCCGCCATGACCTCTCGAGCTTGCAAGGAAAGTGATTTTGAGATGATTGCCGATTTCTTGGAGAAGGCGGTGAACATTACGCTGGCAATACAGAAAGAACATGGGAAGCTTCTGCGAGATTTCAGCAAAGGTTTGCAGAACAATCAGAGTATCATCGACCTCCGAGAGAAGGTCGAAGTTTTCTCCAAAGCTTTTGATATGCCGGGTTTCGATGTTGCCTCTTTGAAGTATCAATGATCGATCATCTCGGATGACGATGACTGTGATGATGATTATAATCATGGGTATGATAATGACGAGGGTGCATTTTCTCTTCGTTCGTTTCATGATTGATTGAGTTGTTGATGTCAAGGATGTTGCTTCTTGGGAGCAGGCTCTGGTCAGTTGCGTAGTGATAGAGGAAAGTCGATGGGAGTCTCTCTTCTAACGTGGTCGGTTCGGATGCAACTGGCCGTCTTCACCTAATTTTGCTTGTTCCTCCAGCAGCGTCAGGTGGAGTGAATTTTCTGTTTCTTCCGAATAAGACCACCTTCAGGGTGGAAGGTCGACCAGTCGCTCGGTTGATTGATTGGTTGATAGTTTCGTCTATTTGTCACTAGCAAAAAATTGGTTGATTGATTGGTCGATAGTTTCGTCTGTTTGATGGTAGCGCAATTTGTAGAGGGGCTGGAAGCTTAAGCTGGTGAAACGGGACCTAGCGGAGGTTCTCCGTTGGAAGGCGTTATTTGATTAAAGCGACGGTGGGGTTGCGGTTGAGAGAGAGCGAGAGAGGCTGGGAGCCTAAGCTAGTAAACGGTACCTAGTGGAGGTTCCCCGTTGGTAAAACGGCACCTAGCGGAGGTTCCCCGTGGAAGGCGTTATTTGATTAAAGCGACGGTGGGGTTGCGGTTGAGTGAGTGTGTGTGAGAGAGAGAGAGAGACCGGGAGCCTAAGCTGGTAAACGGTACCTAGCGGAGGTTCCCCGTTGGAAGGCGTTATTTGATGAACCTCCCTGTTGGAAGGCGTTATTTGATGCAAGCGACGGTGGGGTTGCGGTTGTTATGGTGGTCAGGCGGATGGCGCCGGGGGAGAGGTCAACCCGCTGGCCACCACTGTTGCCGTTGGACATGCCATTACGGCTGAGGGAGCGTGGTAAAAGTGAATGCTGGAATCCAGTGCACGCAGGACACCGGCGTTCTGATCTGCTCGTTCTCAGGTGTAATAGGTTTTTTCGTGTGTGATCGGGTCTGCATGATGTTTTGGGGATGTCGTCGAATGGTGTCGGGAATGTCGACGAGAATCCTGGAGCTCTTTTTGCACTACGTAGTATAAACGGCATGCGACCAGAAATGGACATGGGCAGTGTTTGTGTATGTGTGCGTATTCGTTTCCCGAGAAAGAATACGAGGGCGCACTGATCTTTTTCACGCCCGAGCTCTCCTTTTGGTCCGCGGTGTCGCTAGCTTTTCACCGTCGGATTGATACTCGTTTGAATAAGCTTCTGGAACATCCCTTAACGAGGGGCTGTTTTCCTGACGATACGGCGACCGAGAGAGAGGGAGACGGAGATAGATAGATAGATAGATAGATAGATAGATAGATAGATAGATAGATAGGTAGAGAGAGAGAGAGAGAGAGAGAGAGAGAGAGAGAGAGAGAGAGAGAGAGAGAGATAGAGAGAGAGAGAGGTGAGCGGTACCGCATAAGAGTGGCGGTGCTAGGGAGAGACGAGTTTGGACGAGTGTGCAGGTGTCGAACGTCCCTTTTTCTGATGTTCGGTCATTTTGTTTCTATTATGATTCTAAATGTGGACGCGGGAGGTACTTTCATGCGGGAGAGATGTGATTGACAAGAACGGTTGGATTCTTCCAAGACTTTGGGGAGTGAACAGTGCTGCACCAGCCAGTCTTTTGTGATGTGCCTCCGGCCAGTCTTTTATGATGTGCCTCTACTTTGCGGTGAAGCTTTTTTCGCCTGTCCGCCTTTAGTTTGTTTGGTAGAACGGTGACTCAGCAGATATGATGATTTTTACAGCACTGTTTCACGGTACGGAAGTAATCGCGCTGGAGAAGTTGTTTTGGTGAAGTGTTTTTGGATTCATTTGTTTAATGTGGAAGCCGACGTGTCGTATGTCCTCCCGTCCTGTGTGTCGCACCGTTCGCACCTTTTTGTTTGTAGCACCGTCCTTCTCTCGTCTGGCTCAGGTTTGTGCAGTTAGCAGCGTGTTCTGTCCTGTGTGTCGCGCAGTCACATACGCACACAACCATACCCTCTCTCTTTCTTTTTATGTCCTGTGTCGCGCAGTTATACACACGCACACAACCATATCCCCTCTTTTTCTTGTGTTTTCTAATGCCTGCCTTCACTCTTTGCGTAGGAGTACTTTCTGGTTACTTTTAAGTGTCGCTACGACTTGTGTCGCACCGACCTCTGTGTCTGACGTGCAAGGCTACGTGTCCCACCGTGCTGGCTTGGGCGATCGACTGTAGTTGTACAGATTATTGTTCAGCTACCGTGGATGGCACTGTAACATTGTCTTGCTCAGCTGACTTTTTGTTGCCATGCACTCTCCGTAAATGAGTTATAAACGGGTGAATGTGTACTTGCCTATCATTGCCTGTTTGTCTGTCTTTGTCGTTCTTTGTCTGGTTCATAGTAAGCAGTGCAGGTCAGTGTACGCCTGGTTTGTCGGGTTTTTTCCAATGACGGCAAGGAGACTGTTATCTCTGAAATCAGCGTGTAAATGTGAAATGGTAAATTTCAAATAATCATGTGGTTGTGGAATGGTAAAGTGCGGTCTTACTGGCCAAACCACCAGCCATCATCTTGACGTACTGGTTGTAGGACAGCCATAGGAATTTATGGATGGATGGACCGGAGTCTAATCATGTGCCGATCTGGTACCACATGATGTACGTAGCGACACTGAGTGTGTATGCAACTGAGAATGGTTGTTACGTGACTCCCGGTCATTCATCTGTATCTGGGTTGAAAACGCTGTACTGAAGATGTGTTGTGCTTGGGGGAAAGAAAGTAGCGTGACCATGCTGTGGTATGATTGATTCCATAGGGGTCAATCTCCCTGTACAGGAGCTTTTTGTTGTTGTTGTCAAATCTGTTCATCTGACTGCACATGGATACGAACTTGGGTCTGTATTTCAACAGTTCATGGGTGTACCAACTGAGTTAGGTCCATTGGCAATGAATCTTTTCTAGTGCTATGCAGCTTTGAACTACGGCTTTAGGCATTTGACACTCTCAAGCCGGTTCGGGGAAACGTTCAGATTCACTCCACTGCTGCTGGCGCTGCTAAAGTCAGCTGAAGCTCGGGACTTTGCTGTGTCCTTCATGTGCGTTCTTCCTAACAGAATGAGTCGATGTTGACGGTATGTGTCCTCCATAGCGGAATTGAAGTGTTTGTAGTGGAGAATTGAATATGATTACTTGCCGATTTCCTTGGGAAAAAAAGATTTCCCTGAACTCCGACAGTTGGCATATTATCACGCTCCCTCTCTGGGGTAGTTGTCGGACCTACCGTTCACCGCCTGGACATGAAGGCAAGCCCCGGACCTACCGTTCACCGCCTGGATAGTTGTGGACAAGCGAGAGCTGTGTACCTTGTCTGGAAGTTACCTATGTGTACCTTGTCTGGAAGTTACCTACGGTAGCTGGCCCTGAACTTAACTCACGGAGCCAGACCAGAAACAACCTCGGTTTCGAAAAATTTCAGCGGAATCCGCTGCCTTCTCGGGCTGAATCCACTGAGGCCATGGGCCATCAATTAAACCACCAGTACTTGGCCCAGCTATCATGTCTGAGCCTCGGCCGACCTGTATGCAGAGCCTTGCCGAGGCTGGAACTACTAGGCGCTAACCTCCCGAACGGCTTTGGAGAAGAACACGGAAAAAAAGACAAGAAAAAGACAAAAAAAAAACACAAAATGCAACAAGCAAAGACAGAAAAATATGGGAAAAAAAAAACGGTTACCTCGACGGTGTTATCTTTGCATGTTGAGGCGGAAGATTCACTGTCGTTTTTGTTTTCCGAAACGAGAGAGAGAGAGAGAGAGAGAGAGAGAGAGAGAGGCGGCGAATTCGCCGGAGCCCTCCGTGCAGGTCGCAGCCTCTCTCTCTCTCTCTGTGAAAGTGGGAAGAGATTAATTTCCGTTTTTTTTTTTTTTTTTGAAACGAGAGAGAGAGAGGTGGGGAGTTCATCACGGCCCTCTGTGCAGGTCGCCACCACTCTCTCTCTCTTTCTCTCACGTTTCGAAAAACGGAAATGGGAATGAATCTTTCCACTTTCGTGGGAAGATGCATTCCCGTTGCTGATCTCTCTCTCTCTCTCGTTCCCTCCCTCCCTCCCGTGTGACTTTTTTTACCTTTCGTTTTCTTTCTTTTTGAATTTTTGTCTGATTCCCCCCCCCCCTCTTTCTTTGTTCTCGTGGGGCTGTGGTGTAGTACCGAAAGAATCGGGGCCCGGCCTTCAAGCAGAGACCGGGCCTTCCCTTGGCCGACCCCTGAATGTGTGGGAAGATGCATTCCCATTGCTGATATCTCTCTCTCTCTCTCATTCCCTCCCTCCCTCCCGTGTGACTTTTTTTACCTTTCATTTTCTTTCTTTTTGAATATGTCTGATTTTTTTTCCCCTCTTTCTTTGTTCTCGTGGGGCTGTGGTGTAGTACCGAGAGAATCGGGGCCCGGCCTTCAAGCAGAGACCGGGCCTTCCCTTGGCCGACCCCTGAAGGTGTAGGCGCGGTAACAGGGAAGGCCCGAGCCGATAGCTGGGCCAAGAACTGGTGGTTTAAGGTCTTTCAACCGCGACCCAGGGAAGGCCGTGGCCGATAGCTGGGCCAAGTACTGGTGGTTTAATGTCTTTCAACCGCCACCGTATGTGCGGGTGAACTCTTATTGCTGGGAAGTAGCCTTTTGTGATTGCTGGGAAGTAGCCTTTTGTGTTTTTATTAATTTGGACCGACCATTTCTCAGGATTGTTCCAATTTTAACGTTGAGGACTTGGGAATTCGTTCGGATATCTGTTAAAATTGGAACGATACACAGAAAGAATGTCAGAGAGATACAGAGAAAGAACATTAGCATGCGCTGTTCTATGGATTGCCATTCAGACAATGCGACTTTAATACCGGATGGCATTATATGGCACTGGCCTGTAAGGGAGCATACATGGAGACTGTGTGGAAAGCTCGAAATAGAGCGGCATTCAAACAGGAGGCCTTTCCCCTCCTCGCTCAGATCAAAGCCATTAAGGCCTTGATCAGGCAATGTATCTATGTGGACTGGCAAGGTGGCCGTAGAAATCAAAATTGGTTTCGACAGACATGGGCTAAAGACAACAGCTTTTCCTCTATTACGACAGACGGGAAGTTAAAACTGGTGGACTGGCTCCTCGAGGAAAAAGAGTAGATAGGAAGGGAAGGTTGTATTGGCCGCATATAGGCCGCTGTATAGAAATTGTGTGGTCAGGCCGCATCTAGGCCATTCTTAAGATACTGTGGAAAAGGTTCTAGTGGAAAAGATTCTGGAGTAAGGGGTAGCTGTGAGTTAGTTTAGTCGATGACCTTGTTCTGGTAGAATCCGCTTTTCTAGCCGGTGCTCTGATGTACTTAGTAAGTAGGGGTTTGAATGTAGAAGGAACTAGTAATGTATAGAGCTTAACATAAGTTAGTTGTTAAAATGCAGAGTTGTTTCACTTGTAGAAGATAGCCTAAGCTTTGGGCACTGGGTCCTTTAATGGAAAACCAATGTAGCAAGAAGTAGACTGTAGCAGAAACGAGAAGACAGTAGCCTTCAGGCATAAGAGAAACCGGCTGATGCTGCCGGGATAACTCCGGGTTGAATTGTGAGGTTCCCGGCCTCGAATGTTCCCAGTTATAATGATTATTAAAAAAAAAAGGAGGTTGAGTGTG